TAATAACAAATAAAATAAATAATCTATAAAAATGTGTTGCTCAATAAAAACAGAATGTTATGAACACAACTTTCACATGTATGTAGTTTGTTTAAAGCGTAAATATTAATATAAGTGTTTTTTGCCTTTACAACCTCCTTAAATATATTATACAAATAGAAAATTTACTTAAGTATTATACAAAAAAAAATTACTTTATTGTACGAAGACAAATGTTGTGAGATTTTATTTATTTGATCGATCGAATATTACAATTATAAATAATTATGATTTCAAAATATCACGGACGATTTATATACAAAGGTTGGTCAAACAAGTCAAATTTCGAAATTTATATTGCGAGTGCTATATACATATATATATGTATATATAAAATATGTCGATATTATTCTATTTGGGAAACTACAACGTGTTTTTTCTTTGATTTTCATACGGTATGCGTTAATGTGATCGTACGCGGTCTTAGTGAGCTAACTAATTTTAGGAAATATATCACACGAATTGAGTGTGGAAGTTAAATTTGTATTATTTTAAGAATATGAACGGTTCATATAACGAAACATGTATCTTTTTAAGTGTCATCGTTTTAAAATGTGCAGGACTCCGCATACACTCTTTTCGTTGCGGCTGTATATGTTACCATTATATATTATTATATACGAGATGTGTTCGTCATGATAATTACGAATATTTTTGTATCATGACCAAAAAAATGAATCGAATATGTAACCATTGCGAAATATGTAATCTTACATGTAATCCGTTTTTCTCGGATATTTCTTAGTCAAAAAGACGTTCGATAATAACATATTAATACATGAAAGCATCGCGACAACGATATCTGATAAAAAGAAACGTAGTTTAGGATGTTATTTGGAATTTTGAGATCTCATGTTAATCGATCGTATTATAGATGCAATCAAGTAAATATTCGGAACCTTTTCATACGAATCGGTCGCGTTAGTATTATCTTCCTAATGAATAAAAAACGCACAATTTTCAATCGTACGCTGTTAATGCTGGCGTTTAATATACGATTTCTAACACAATCGAATAATATATTTCGTACATAAATAAATAGAACAATTTGGAGTAAAGTTTTTGCCATTTAGAAATTTGAAAAAAAAAAACTTTCTTTTTCGAATTTATGAATATTGTCGATGTCTATTTCTCTTCTTGATAGCATAAGTTTCATTATCGATCAATCAACATGTTCCTCTTTATCATGTAAACAACTTAAATTGCAGATACGTAAGGAATATCTGTGATTTATTGAAAATCGCTTAAAATATCTTAACGATGCTTACATTTAATGAGAATGTCGTCTACCAAAGATTTATCATCTCAGTGCCAATTTGCAAAAAAAAAAAAACAGCTGTCACACGCTAGTTTCGTAGGCGATGCATTATTCCATTCTTATCTTAGCAGATGCAAAACTGTAGATTCGAATTTTTTAACTACAAGTATTGATTAATTCCCAGATAGTAAAATGTTAGCAGAATGTCGACAGATTGTAGCAGATTTGATCAGAAGATGTTAGCAGACTGACCACAACTGATGTTGCATTCTGTTCCTGTTCTGCCGACAAAACCTGTTAACATTCTATGCAAACAGACTGGTAGTAGAAATCAAACAGAACTTACTGACAGAATCTGATAGCAGGCTTTGTCATATTTTTGACAGCAATTTGCTAACATTGTCTGATAGTACAAACTTTGTACAATTTGTTGCCCTTCTGCAATAAAAAATTGGTAGCAAGCTCTACTCAAAATCTCTCTGCAGGTTTGGCTATTAGGATTGTTTTATAAGAGGACGTAATGTAAAGCTAGCGTAGCTTATTATTCCAAAGTTTTGTACTTGGGCTGTGGATTTTTGTCACGGTAATATTAATATAAATTAATTGATGATGGTGTCAGATTAAACGCGTAACGAATGTTAAATGACATCACTGAACGTAAACAGGACTCAACGAACTGTATTATACAAATTCTTTATTTGTTTGCGAAGTAAGACCCATAGCTACTCGAGCTTGTTCAAGAATGTTTTATATATTATATCGATTATAAATAATCATAATGTAAATTAAAAGATGGTTTGCAAAATGCAAGAACAGATAATAAAGATACCTGATTTTAGTTAATTGGGACATGTGGTTTTATTGATTCCTCCAATGACATACAATGGATGTATAATGATCCATCGAAAATGCACAACTATTAACACACAGCATGCAAATAATTGTTTTTAGTGATTCAATCAGTACTATGACAGTAATTATTCAAACATATGTCCACAGGGATAAACATTTCAAAAAAGGATTATAAGATTTCATGACTTAATTATTTCAAGACTTAAAAATATTTTAAATGAAATTTAAATATAATTTTTAAGAATATGTTTAGAAAATATATAACTGCTTATAAAATTAAAATATCTAAATTTTGACTTTCTTCAATTTTGCAATTAGATTGAAAGAAACTTTTCTTAATCTATTAAGGCTGAAAACCTATAGTTACACCATGCTATGTATTTTCTTTACACAAAGAGAAAGGATAAATATATACGATCACATTTTCTATATTTTTGTTTCTTGAGAGGATTGTTCTCTATAATTTATATTATACTTTTTAATGTATCAAAAAAGAAATGCATAAAACATGTCTAGATAGATTGATACCGAAATTACAAATCTAAACTTGCGCCATTTCTTTGTTTTTCCTGACTTTCAGTCCATGCCTTCGCTATGGTTTTCTTCGTCTCATCGTCGCCATCCTGATACATTTTTTTCATAAGATTCATGAGACTGGCGCTAGGATCGGTGTCCTCACCTAACTCAGGCATGGATGGCGATTTCGCGTCCTTGATTCTCTTCTCCACCAATGTGACGTGCGACCACTCTTTGGCAATCTTTTTTACGAGTGACACAACAATCATATCGGTTTTTACTTTAAAGTTACTCTTCTCGATATCGATTCCCGCACACAGATTGTTAATCGGTAAGTGATAATTTTTATTATCTAGTCCGAATATATATAGATCCAGAGATTTCTCTGTAAAATTGCAGGTAATGGCCTCCTTGGACAGCTGGTGAACATTGCTTAATGTTATGTAAATCTTCATTGTTGTGTTCGTCTGGTCCCACCCATAGTTGTTCAGTTTCACTTCGTAGCACTTTTGGGCAGTATTGAGCGAAGTTGTCGTGGACATGTTCTTCTGTTCCAGTAATCTTGCCGTTTCTATTTGCGTCTGCAGTTTCTTTATTTCCAGCGTTAATATATCTTTGATTCGTTGTCTATTAGCTTGCTTGAGTAAGTTGTTAAGTTCCTCAATATCTAATTTTATCTGTGGGAAACAATATTAAAATTGCTTAAGAAAATACCTCATCTGACAAAAAAATTAATTAAATTTATCTACAAAAAATTTTAAAGTTTCATATACTTAAAAATTTCGATTCATGATAGTCAATTTGTTAAATATATATATATATATATATGTTCCAATTATTGATATAATCAAAGAATTTTTTTAATTATGAAGGCTGTTTGAAAAATGTGCAAAGTCTAAAATATGGCACCACTAGTACGTATCAAGATTATTTTTAATATCTGGCAACTCTTGGAGGATCACACACTAAATTTCAGTGAGATAGATCCACTTCTCTGTGTTTGGCTTTTATTTGAATCGATCAAGTACCATGATTTGCGAAAAATGAATAAGAAAGAATTTCGTGTAGCGTGATCACACAAAATTGTTCTACTTACGCTACGAAATCCTTTCGCATCCTACCTATTCTCCAAATTTGGACTTTGTAGTGTAAATCGAACAATTTTGTGGTCACACTACACGAAATTCTTTCTTATTCATTTTTCGCAAATCATGGTACTTGATCGATTCAAATAAAAGCCAAACACAGAGAAGTGGATCTATCTCACTGAAATTTGGTATGTGATCTTCCAAGAGTTTTCAGATACTAAAAATAATCTTGATACGTACTGGTGGTGCCATATTTTAAGCTGATTCTACAATGAGTCGATAGTGGGTAGTCCTAAATCTTATCGGTGAATTTGGCCAACAACTAACTTGTACGACTAAGACTACTGATTTTCTTAAGACTGATCTAATTCGACTTTATTCCTTCCTACTAGTCGAATTAAACGACTCGCTGTACAACTAACAACTAGTAGATGCAAAAAATCATAGTCACCTATTTAGGTTAAAACTGGTTAAGACTTAAGATTTCCGACTATCGACTCATTGTAGAATCAAACTTTGCACATTAGACTTTGCACGAACTTTTCAAACCGTCCTCGTATATATCAAGAAGAGAATAATTCTGCATTATATCATTTTAACACGACAAACCTAATTTATCATCTCATTTTTTTTCCCTCCAAAATGTGAGCATAAATTGGATCACATTTTATATACATATAGTGCAGGAAAGTGTAATTAAAAATTAACAATAAAATATTTACCTCCTCGATCTTTGTTGCCATTGTTGCTAGTTGCTAGATTTTACAATATCACGAGTTTTGCACAACACCGAGACGAAATGGATGTTGATGGACCGATATCCAGAAATTCACTTTTCAGCAAAACGCAAAGGGCTGCAGAATGAATCAGAATAAATCCGGATTGATCAGGAATGACTGACCTGACTGTCCGAATCTGGAATCTTCTAAAATTTTCTTCGTGTTGCTTCTATCGAGGTTTATTAGGGAAAAGATATATAACACTCGTGACTCGAATTCGTTAAGTCTGTTCTTCTTCTTCTTCTTATGAGTTGATGGCTCCCGCAGGCGGACGTCTGCGATACGACCAGTATCCAATGTAGCGACGCGTAGAACGCTCCGCGCACATCTTCCAATTGGAAAGGCGCCAAGGGGAGAGCGGCAAATCAAATTTGAGTATAGTAGCAAAAAAATTTGAGATTTTTTTGTAAAGTTATGCGGGGTCTACAATAAAAGTCGTAGCAGTCGTAAGGTCTTAAGTCGTAGAAAATTGACCAATCACAGTCGAATATGAGAAGAATAATCAACTGTAATTGGTCAATTTTCTACGACTTAAGACCTTACGACCGCTACCACTTCTATTGTAGACCCCGCATTATTCACGCTTAATTGTAAGTTGCAGAAATTCAGAAAAAACATCGCTCATGCGAACATTTAAATTATTATATTTACATAATTGTATATAAAACATTTTTTCCTGCAATCATAATCGAATAATCGAAAATAATAATGAGAAGAATAATCGATTATAATTACAATGGTCAATTTTCTACGACTTGAGATCTTATGACCGCTACGACTTCTATTGTAGACATTAGTTACTCGAATAAAGTTTCGAAACGCAGATCAATAATTTCTTCTGGTCGAATAAAGTATACGTATTTTTTAATTTACATTTTAGTAAAAAATCTTCTATTTTCATTCATTTTCAAAAACCTTCTAAATGAAGGAACCTTCCAATGGAACAACTGGCACTGGCTGCGTTCAGCAGAGAAAGCAGTTTTGCAACTGTTGTAAAATTCTTGAATATGATTGGTTTATACATTTAGATCTAATGAGGAACTAAGGGCAAGACCAATCCTCAAAAAGAGATTGGATACCACGTTTAGTTCACCATATTTTTCAAGACCTGCTTAAAATAGAATGAGACAGATTATACATAAGTGGAATGACATCATTGAGACCCTGCTTTTCATTCTAACTTATGCATTTATCTTATTCTATTTTAAAACAACCCCTACAGCACAAAGTTGCAGCAACACTGCTGCAATATTGCAGCAACATTGCATGTTGCAGCAGTATTGCAGAGATTTTGTAGCGATATTGCTATAAATTCTGTGCTGTATGGGAATGTTCTAAATATGACAAACCAATCAGAAGTTGTCCAAACAATAGCCAAAATCTTATTTGCTACGACATAATTTAAAAAAATTAAGTTTTCTAGAAAATATTTCGAATCATAAAATTTATGCAATTTTGATGTAATAACTAATTATAGAGGAATAAAAGTATGTACTTTTTATAGTATATTTTTTTTTCTTTCCAACGTTTCCATTTTTTTTCTGCAAGCAACTAAAAAAATGATAATTTTTTAGTTGTGTCATTATATCAAATTTTTTTAGTTATATAAGTATGATAATGAACTCTCGAAATTAAAACAAAAATAATTCAATAGACAGGCAAATGAAAGTAAACTGCGCGGTTAAAGATGCGCTATAATAAACTATTTATATTTTATAATTCAATGTATACAGAATAATTTTCGTGTCGTTTATTAAGATGCAATCGATGAGGAATCATCAAGAGAAATTTTATATCTAAAAACTAGCGTTGCTTTTACATATATTATTAAATCGTTGAAAATGATTGGAAGTCAGTCGAAACGTCTGAAAATTATCTTGTATACATTTGAATTATAGAATATAAATAGTTTATAGCGCACTTTACTCTCATTTGTCTATTTAGTGAATTATTTATTTTTTTTTAGTTATATCGTTAAAGCCATCACACGTACAAAAATTTTAGTCGCAATCGTAAGGCCGTAAGCAAATCGGCCAATCACAGTCGAGCGTTTTTAAACGCGAGATCGTAATTTTGATTGTGATTGGTCGATTTACTTGCGACCTTACGATTACGACTAAAATTTTTGTACGTGTGATGGCCTTTATGATAGCAACATATATTCTTGTATTCGTTATATAAGGCTTATTTTTTAGCTGAATTGTTTTCTTGCACATTTTTTCTCTTTTTCTCTCTAATGTGATGAATCATGCAAGAATTTTAGCTAAAAAGAATAGATCTACATACATTATACACCTATCATTTGTAACTGTGCTGTATTATTTTTTATATTTAAAATGAAATAAATGTGTAATCAGGAAGAAAAAAGAATGTGTAAAAAGTATTAAAACATTCGAACAAATCTTTATGAGTAAATCTTAAATATTGCAAATAATTGTAAAGTGACTATCAATTGAAAAGTTTGCAAGTTTCACGTTCAATATACGTCTCTTCGATGAAATTAAGAGAAATAATTTATCACACACATATAGATCAAAGTTGCGGTCCACTTGACGCTACAAACACTTCGAAGCATTCTTTGATTAGTTAATTCATAAAATTCTTTGTTCTGATTGGTCGCTCAAACACTTCGAAGCGTTTGTAGCGTCAAGTGGACCGCAGTCCAAACCTGTCCAATTTAAGTTCCGGAGTCAAAACGCAAATCGACGTAAAAAATTCAATGTAAGATTTTAAGAACTATAGTGTTGATAAGCGTTTAGATGCGTATCAACACTTTGACAATCCTCGGAAACTTATCCACATTGAATTTTTTTGCGTCGATGGCTTCGCGTTTTGGCTCCGGAGCTCAAATTGGACAGGTCTGATATAGATAAAGTAATTTGGACTAATTTTTTAAAATTAACTCAAATTCTATGTTGTTAACAATTTATTTTTTACACTCGTGCAAGATATTTATAATACAAAATTCGGATCCAGCGTTTTTAGGAGAAACGAGCGTCCATACGAAGGCTTCGCGATCAGTAATCGCTTTTATATTATTACAGGCCACCAAAATATCAATTATGCTAATTGGTCGACGATTATTGTAGAACGGCAGCGTTCGCAGCTATACTGGGATTATTGATGACCTCTCCCAGGCTCTCGAGCAATTCTTTTCTATAGTCGTCGAAATCGCCGTCGATAGCATTAATCTGCTGGTTCTCAATCACATAGAGACAGCATTCAGTATCTCGAATCAGTCGTTCGTCGTGCGAGACGATGATTACACCGCCCTTATACTCGTTAATGGCGTCTGCTAGTGCGTCGATAGATTCTATGTCGAGGTTGTTGGTCGGCTCGTCCAAGATCAGCACATCCGGTGCATTTAGACAGAGTTCGGCCAACGCAACGCGTGCCTTTTGACCACCCGATAGATCTTTCATCTTGATGGTGTGCGCGTGAGAGCTGAGACCGAAAGTGCCCAGCTGTTTGCGTGCCTTTTCGTATGGAAGATCGAATAGTCGCATCAGATATTCCGCCGGAGTCTCCTCAGCAGTTAAATGCTCGCCAGAATGCTGGTCAAACCTTCCTATCCTCTGTAAAATGTAAATTAACTTAGAATAATAGATAATATAGATATTAAGGGAAAAAATGAAAGATAAAAATATTAAAGTGAAGTGCTGGAATGGTAAAGTAATCGTCTGTTAAATAAAAGATCTGAATTCAATTCCCAATTTGATGTTACTCTGTATATAATACAAGAAATTTTGCTTGGAAAATATTCCATAAATGTAAATACTTCAATAAGTATTACAACTTTTACGAATCGAGATTCAAAATAATAAAATATTAAAAAAAATATTTTATTATTTTGCAGATTAAACGATCAAGTTTGTAAAATGAAAATAATGATTTATTGTTTAATACATACGATCTTGCACTTACCAGTCGATGATTCTTCGTGATTTCTCCTTTCTGAGAAGTTATATCGCTCATTAGTAATTTTAAGAAAGTAGATTTACCGACACCGTTAGGGCCCAATATTGCTACTCGAGAACTTAAGTCTATACCAAAGTCTGCGTCGATAAACAATGATTTTTGTCCTTCGTATCCAAATGTTACATCTGCGAGAAAATAAATGTACAAAGATTTAACTTGTATTTTTGTTATGTACTGATTTTCTCTGTTTATTTCGTATTGATTTTCTTTTTCTAAATATAACTTGATAAATAATTTAGTACATGGAAGAACTAATTACATACTTTGAAGACCGAGAATTGGAGGTTGCAACGGTGGAGGATCTGGAAAACTGAATTTTACTATATATTCCCTCGGTCTTTGCAACAGTTCCGTGGGCCCGGTATCCTCCTCCTGTTTCTGCATCTTTGTTCGATTCTTTTCTTGCTTTCTCGTCAATGTCTCTTTTTGTTTCTTCTCAGCCTGCTTCTTACTCTGTCCAGCCGCTTTGAGGTCCTTCAGACGTTTTTCCTGCTTCTCATATGCCTTCACCATTTCCTTTCTTTTCTGAACATACATCTTTTTAAACATGCTATAATTTCCCTTGTAATAGAATAATTTTTGCTGATCTAAGTGTATGACGTCCGTGCAAACATTATCCAAGAAACTCTGATCATGCGATACAACTAGCAGAGTCTTCTTCCAGCTTTGTAAGTAATTATCCAACCAGATAACTGCATTCAAATCTAAATGATTTGTAGGTTCGTCCAATAGTAACAATGTGGGTTCCAGGAAGAGTGCTCTCGCGAGCGAAACACGCATTCGCCAACCACCAGAGAAGTTCTTCGTCGCACGATTTTGCATCGCACGATTGAATCCCAAACCGGCGAGAATCCGTCTTGCTCGCGGCTCTGCTGAATCTGCTCCAATAGCTTTTAATTCATCATACACCTGAAAATAATATATAAATCATATTTTGTACAAGTTTTCAATAGTTGCAATCTTCTTTAAAGGAATATGAGATTTAAAACACAAAGATAAAGGATAAGAGAAGATAGATTATCTTTTTGTATATAATTTATCAATTTTGTAGAGAAAAAAATTTTAAAGTTTATAAAAATAATGATTACCTCTTGCAATCTATTCTGCACGCTGGTATCCCCTTGCTCTGTCAATTCTTCTAATTTCTTGCATTCTGCCTGAAGCTCTTTGCACTTCACATCGGCATTGAGTACCACTTCTACAGCCGGAGTATCATCTGCTATAACTTCTTGTTCACAATACAGGACATCTATCGTAGGTGGGATATT